GCAATCAGTCGAGATTAAACTTTAAATACTCGAGCCGATGCCGAACAACTTACCGGGTGAAAGAAAAATCCGATTAGTGGTGTAGCAAATGCGATTTTCATACCAAATCCTCTGAGTTCTTGTAATCAAAATAACCTACCTTTGTTTGATGTTAATACTTGCCTTCATCCAGTTGTTTATTTTTGTAATTTTTTGTTTATCTAAAATCTATCCCAAGCAATTCATATTTCCCAAAATTAGACGTATATTGCTCTAGAATTTGAAATAGACGGAGCTTAATAAAGGAACATGAAATCTTTGCTGACAAAAGCAAATGGAAACACAGACATTAAGTAAAAAAGGTATCCCCTTTCAAGTAATTCACTCAACACTTTTTCGCGCGATTTTCTGCATAAGCTGAGAAAAAAACTTTCCGATAATCATGATATTATTATTATTAGCCTCAGAAATTGAATTATCTCGCCTTGAAATCTTGATAATTTATCATTTAATTTTCTGTAATTACACGTATTTTGGTTGTTTTTTTACTATTTTCCCTGTGTTTGCTTGCGAAGTCGTGACAAGTCAGTTGTCATAGAAACCTGCAGCATATCGAATTAAGGCTCAGCTGAGGAAACAAGCACTAAATTAAAATTTTTATCCCGCTGTATGCAACTCGAAAAACAAACTGAAAGTTTTGTTTTGAACGATGGGCATTCACAATATTGTTACAGCTTCAGCTTAATCTGTTAATGTTGGTCGGATAAAGAAGAAATTTATGGGCATTGTAAATTTAATCTCATTATCCATCAATTCTGTGCGCCGATTACGTTGAAGTGGAAAGCTAGGAAAAGACTGACACTTTCTCACAAGGATAAATTAATTGTTTGCTCTGGACAGGAAGAGATTTTTCCGTCAGGATATTGAATAGATGCGAAAACGCAATTTGCTCAAGATATTCCAAATACAGTGGAAGACAATATGCTAATGTACGAGACTCAGGGCAGATGCATTTTCACTGTCTCTTCTTCGGTTACGCATGTTTGCAAAATTGATGAGTACCTTGTGCGTTTGTAGAGATACTTCCCTGAATAGTTCCAGTAGCCTGATAGGTCGGATGATCCGAGTCTAGGATTGGCTAGCTACGAACTCGGGCCTTCTAACAAATTAGGCTATTTCGAAGGTGCCCGAAGACCCTTTAAACTCTTCCGAAGACTTCCGAAGAGCCGATGGCCTGCAAGTATCCTCTTAGTTAGTCATCTTTACCGTCTCAGCCCGTGTTTTAACGAGAGATGCTTACCTTGGTTTTGTTTTAACTTTACTGAAGTGAAATTTTTAATCATGTAAACACAGTAGCAACCCTCGGTAAATGGCGGCAAAATCGACCAAAAGTAAGCCAACCTAGGTTTGTCGACAGTTGAACGCCTCATCAGGCATGGTTTAGCTCAGTAATCGAAGGTAACCGAGGAAAAGCAGACGTTGTCGCAATATATATTTTGGCAGATTACTCCTAATGTAAATAGGTTTGAAGTCAACGGGCAAAAAAGCTAAATAAACTCATGTTCAGGCAAAGAAATCCCGGACTGCTGTTTCCCGTTCATCGTCAAGTACCGTAAGCGTTTCCTTTCTGTTAGAAGGTCAGTGGCTTAGTAGCAGTGTACAGGCAGATACAACTAGAAGAACGCGTACCACAAATAGACAGAAAAAATTCATAATTGAGGGCTATGGAGAAGAAAAGCAAATGTTAGAATTTAAAGCGGCCCCGAATAAGAAGTACCCATAAACATTTACGTAGCCCAGGTTCCGTGGCAGATGCCGTTTCAGGTTTTTTGCGGGAAGTGGCTCAGCTAGATATCAATTTTTTTTTCCACTATTCATCTACAAAGCTTTACATTTAAGGAGAGTTTGGCTCGACATCACCGCAAGCAAACTGACAACGACCTGCGTTTGGCATTGGAGTAAAGTCAAATTTTATAATTTTCCAATAGTTTTTGAGCAACGTTGCAGCACTTGCTTTCCGAGAAAACCTCAAACAGTCCGTTGTATGCGACCTACTTTAGTTAATTAGTTTCGTGTAAACAGCTTTTCTAATAACTGCGGTTTAGTTACGAAACCTCGGTAAGCAGTAACCGTAGTAAACTTCTCTCGTGAAAACACGGCATAAGAGGGGAAGCTAGAGTAACCTAATACCTTTGAACAGCTAATATCTCCAACATAAATTGTTGTGTGTGACCTGCGGGAAAAAAGTCCATTCCCCTTCTCTAAACCCTATATGATATTGATTCCTTTTTGGAAAAATATAACGGCAAAATCGGCATAATTTGCAAAATCTTTTGTCGTTTTCCTATAACGTAAAAAAAGAAACACTTTTACAATGCGACTCACCTAGCGTCGCGTAGCCTAAATCTCCGCACAGAGACAGAATCGCAATTGAAGCAAATTTCTTAAAAGAAAAGTCGAAAGTTAGCAAATTTCCTGGCTTCTGTGAAAATAGAACAAATGTCAAGAGATCCCTCCTTGCTTAAGGAAATAGCAGTAATATAGCCTTTGTCTCGCCGAACGGCCACCTGGACCGGGCACCAGTGAGCTGGATTACAGCTTTCCCGGCCCACTTTCACTTTGTAGCCTTCGTTTTATCTCACCAAATCAAATGTAATTTACTTTGTCAATGCCTTTTATTGATTGAATTTTTCATTTTATTTTTCACTTTTTCATTTACAAGAATCGCCACGTAAATGGAAGAGAGTTCGCAGAATGCTGTGGGGCGACCGCGTCTCCCCATTTTTCGCAGGAAACAAGCGTCCCACGGGCCTTTCGAGGATCGCTACTAGTGGAAGGGAAATACAACAGAAGCTACCTAGCGATCCTGCTAAAAAGCCTCCTTATTTTGTGTCGTGTTTTGATCTGGATGAAAACACCGCTTTCTATTCAGCGTACAAAGTTACTCCTGAGCAAGCCAAAGACCTTGGAAAGTTTAGCCTGAACGACGTCAAAGTTTACGGCTGGAGGAATACAGGTATTTCCTGTGAAGGTTTTCTTAAGGCCCTGGTCAAGCAGATTCGTAAGTAGTTGCAAAAAGTCGCAAGTTGAACTTACGTAGAGACTTGCGTTGGGTGGCCAATAATGGTAATAATGTGGTTTTGCATGCGAGGCTCTCGAACTAGTTGTTTAATCAAATGGTGAGTCAAATGACGATTTTGACGTAATTTCCTAATTTCATTTTTCTTTGAAATAAAAGGATATTTTGCCAAAAAAATCTATCCAGTAACTTTTCTTATTACCTAGCCTATCTACCATAAAGATATGAGCGAAATCGAATGTTCGACCCTTGCCGCGAAATTAAGAATTTGTCTGATTTTAACAGGCAGGCACTCTTAACGTCGTATTTACGTTCACAGATGTCCGTGGCCTGGACGACGCCTACTCTGCTGCAATTACGGACACGAGTGGAAGTCCGCTAAGCCGAGGCCACATGAACCCCGTGACGCTGAATACGTTCGACAAAAGTTTCATGAACGCTACATTCACTCTTTCCAACGCAGTACCACAGTTTGAGACATCTAAAAACGGCCCCTGGCGCGCATTTGAGACGCGAATACGTAATTACGCTAAGAATACGTGTGGTCCTCGAGGTGGAACCCTGTATCTTCTGACAGGAAAATCTGACTACGGACTGCGCTTTCAAGCCGGCAGTCCCGTGCAGGACGTTACCACAGCTTTGCCTTATCCCAAGGAAAATTTTCCTAAAAATGTAAAACTTGTCACTCCTCGTGCTGTGTGGACAGCAGCCTGCTGTATCTGGGCAGAACCCGACAAGTTTTTAGGAAAATTGTGGGCAGCGAAGAAAGCGGAGTCCTTTGCGGTCATGAGCAACAACATGGATGACAGTGCCTTGTTGCATCAGACGGAGATGAGTGTGTCTCAGCTAGAGAAACTCCTTAGACCACCACTCTTGAAGGAGGTAAATTTGTTTCCAGGGAATGAAAAATGTCGACGCGCTGAGAATGATATAACACTAGAGACCTTTAGATTTGACTACGAATACCAGATTGAGTACGATTTTCGAATTTCAAACCAGTGACATTTCCAGAGTCCTCGCTGTCCATGTTGGTTTTAGGTAGAGAGGGTAGCTCATGGGATGAGATGGATATGTGATTTGATGATGTGAAACCTGCAAACTAGAATTATGAAGTCGTTCTCGCACTCGATCTCGTACTTTTCTCAAATCTTAAGTCCCCTGCTGCCTTTATCAGTTTGGACCAGTTTGGGAGCATTTGGTTTGCCAACCTTGAAGAACCCGTTTTAAAAAGAGCACGTGAGATGATATATACTTGAAGGACATAAAAGAACGGTTCCTCAAGGAATCAGTGCACACTTTCCATATTTACTAGAATATTTAGCCCTGTTTATATCGTCATCAGGCATGTTCCCAGGAATGGCGTAACCCATAATTCCTATTATATAATGTACTCATCCCATAAGATTCTTAAAAGCAGTTTTTTTCGAAACACATTTTAGAATAAAAACTAGAGATAACACCGACGTTTCGATCGCCCTGAGATCATTTCCAAGTTGTAGAAAAAGCGAATACATATATAAGTACAAATT